ACCGTGTTTGGCAGCTTGACTCCTGGGAGTAACGGGCATGGCCGTGCTGATTTGTGGGGAGTGGACGTCTGATTGGTCGTCTTGCTCTCAATCCTGCAGAATATAGGCATCGTCTGATGGTGCTGGTAGACAGACACTCTGTTGTATGGATGCATACCAGCCAATAATTTGCCATCTTTGGTTCAGAGACGCTGGACGCTTGGGCATTTCACTGGTTGGTCAAATTAAAGCTTAATTTATGCCTACAGTCATATTTTAGCTGTGTCTGCCAACATAGCATACGCCAAAAGGGGCTATGTGCATACTGCATTTACAGCAAACCGACCCCCGGAACATGCATGCTTAAGGCATGCATGCACGTGCAGCTCGGAACAGCGTGTGTTTGTGATATTATGTTCACAGATGGTGTCGTATATTACATATGTACGTGTAGAGTAAAAAAGCACCCTAAAATTATATTTCTACATTGACTCTCAAATGGGTGGTGCGATACTTTTGACGATGTGTATATATGGACTGTTATTATAATTATTATTGTTTACGGATTAAAGTGAAAATGCAACAGATAGGGTTTGGGTGATCCTTGCACAGTCAGGCTGGTAAGGCTCATCATCAGCTCAGGGACCTTGCCCCTCTACACGCAGCCAAGACAGTGACTTCTCCCAGGAAACGCTGCCTAGTCGAACCCACCAAGAACTTTCAGAGCTATAAAGGGCTGTGCTCCCTGTGGAGAACCCGGGCACTCTCCTGATCTGCGTTAAGAGGTCAGGAGGTACCAAACCAAGGGCACCGAGAACAATGGGGAGCCTGCCGACAGCGTACTTGGGATGCAAGCGAGACACTTCAAAGGCGAGGTCAGCATATTTAGCATGCTTTTTCCTGAATCTTGCCAATCACGTTGCTGTCAGTATTATTATGATTACTTTTATTTTTAAAGTCAGCATTGACTAGCATTAAGCTCTTGACATTGTCAAAGTCAGTATTTCCCGCGTGGAGAATGCAAAACCTAAGCATAAGATCCTGGGTGTTGTCAAAGTCGGTATTTCGCACATGACGACTGGACAACACAAGCATTACACTGTCGGTATTGTCAGAGTCAGTGTGATATACTGGCAAACTGCATTTCATATTGATAATGCTGACCTACTTCCTTATACAACTGATCACTGTAACCTGAAAAGCATGTCTGACTGCACGGAGACGATAGGTTTCCCAGTTATGTAATGCGTTTTTTTGTAATCACGTTGCATGTATATTTAGACCTTGTTCTATGAGTTCACCTTCATATAAGAGATTTCATTCTGACTGGACACAGAGTACCAGAAGGCCTGAATGACAACACCGTCTTCCATTCTGGCTGGACACAGAGGACAAGAAGGCCCGAATGACAACAACGTCTTCCATTCTGGCTGGACAAAGGGCACCACAAGGCCTGACCGAAGTCTCCCATTCTGGAGAAAGCAGCTAGCCTGAGGGAGCGTTTAACTGAGTGGGCCTGCTGCAAACGACAAACATAGATCAGGTGGGACTAGGTTGACTAATTATTTTCTCATTTATTTTCTTTAATTGGTCAAGCTTGCCAATGCAGCTCTTAAACTGGGTTTACTGTTGGGCGACACTACCTTACATATAACATACAGCTTACATGTCCGAGGTCTGCATAGAAACATGCGACTGAAGGTTGACGCATTGGGTAATTCGAACATGTCACTGAACATAACTGGCTGTGTGGTGGTGTCCTAGGGTGTCATATCCAAGCTCCGGGGCAGGGTTTTACACGATACAGATGTGTGGGTCCTGTATGTGCAAACGAAATTAATGGGCACGGAAAAAATATGCAGACCTCGAACCCGTTAACTAACTGCCGGGCCAAAGAAAGTATAGGTTTTTCAAATCGTAACGGATTAGACGTTTTCCATCAAATTTGATGTAAATGTGCTTGATAACGATTGCCAAAGATCGTGATGCACGAAACAAATCGCAAAAACGCATTCTGGGGCCCCGACTCTTAGACACACAAAAAAACGTGCAAAACATGCATTAGTCGGATTTCATGAAAAGATCGTGCGAAAAATCAGTATAAATGGGCTTGTCGAACACTGCAATATCACTGCATATAAAATCACACAGAAAGAATGCCAAGGTTAACCCAGGAAGAAAGAGAACGAGCAGTAGAGATGGCCCATATGGGAGCGACGCACGTCCACATAGCGAGGACGTTCCATTGCAAACACCACTGACAGTGTCCAGACTTCTCCATCGTCACAGACAGACTGGGACGACTTTCGACACCACAGGAAGACCGCTATATTCGGACGATTCATGTCAGAAACCGATTTGTGACGGCAACGGAAACGTTACTTGGTCACCGCATCAGTCGAAGCACAGTGTCAAGGAGGTTAGGTTCAGCGGGAATTCGTGCTTATCGTCCCTTCCGTGGCATGACCTTGCCCCCTTAACATCGACAACGAGGGTACAGGTGGCAAGTCCATAATTGGCGGAGGGTGCTGTTCACAGATGAAAGCCGCTTCAGTCTGTACCGAATAGATAACAGAGAGCGTCTATGCAGACGTCGTAGTGAGCGTTTAGCACCCCGATGTATACAGGAGGTCAATTCCTACGATGACGATGGCGTCTTGGTAAGGGGTGGCATCATCGATGACGTAAAAACACCTCTGTTCATCATGAATGGAAATCGGAACGCTCTGCCTGTATGGTAAGAACAAGATTATCAGATGACCAGTGATGGCAAATTGTGGCATACATAACTACAGTATGGCTTTTAAAGTAATTTTTGTCGGGAGACCGGTGACAAACAACGTACACTTGGTCCGGTCCAGTTAAGTCATATTTGGCGGTCGCTCAATTTGGAACCAGAACTGATTCTTGAATATACGCTTGTCACCGGAAATCTGGTAACGGAAGTAAGCTGGGCCCCGTCTCGCATATCGGTAGTTCGCTCGCGCAAAGGGAGCCGGGAAACAGCTTAGTACCGGAAGTAGAGACTTTCAGCCCCTATATCCATTAATATTATGTTGAAGGAAACTGTCTGGGGTTATTTGTGTTTTCTTGCAGTCAAGATATAATATTACAGAAAACATGCAGCTTTACCAACGCAATTTGCACACCACTGAGGTTAACTGAAAGCTACGACACTGAAAAAGGAATTTCTTTAGCTGTAAATGTTGTGTCCCGTGCAATTTGTTTTGTTATAAATAGAGGGTATATAAGTGCCCATGTCCTACTATGTTTACAACACGAGTGCCTAAATGTTGGTATTTTCCAAAGCGAGAGCGAGGCATATACTGATATTTAGACACGAGAGTCGTAAACATGATTATTTACAGGGTGCTTTGAAGGGGTGTACGGGACTGTAAGACCCTTGTAAATTGCCTAACACCTTGCTGGTCCCGTACACCCTTTCAAAACACCGTGTCACTAATCAATGTTTACGACACTCGTGCCGAAATATCGGAATATCCCTGAGGCTCAGCCGAAGGATTTACGGCATTTACAAGGGTCTTATAGTCCTGTACACCCTTTCAAAACACCCTGTGACGAATTTATTACCCTTACGATCTTTTTATTTAGCTTATCTATAAAAACAACATTCAATTCAGAATGAGATGCAAAACATATTTGCCCATAATTTTTCCTGAACGACCATAAAGGGAGATAACTCGGGATGGCTTAGTTAATGATGAAATGATCGATTTTGAGGTGTCGTTAAACGACAAGTGAAATACAAAAACATTCTATTTTTTGATATCTTTATTGACACAAACAAATAAGAAATTAGGGCAATAGTTTTATTACTCTGTTTATAGGTCTTATTGTATACACAATTGTAACCATAAAATTTCGAAGCGATCAGCTGTTTGGCAGGCATATTCCATCTAAGGTCAAGGCCATTTGTGCAACCCGTGTAGTGTGTCACGTGACATATTTGATAGGAAGTACGGTTTGTACACCCTGGCAAATCCGCCTACATGGTTTGGTATGCTTTGGCTATTGACCAATCGACAAATTTATCTTAAGGGTAATAAAGCATACTATTGGCACGAATATAATGTTGCATTTATTACCGAAGTCGTCAAATTGAGGAAAATAAACCCAAATCTTCTTTCAAACATGGGCTGGCTACCCGCCGTCGCCGCATGTAGAACGTAACATCATAGAAGAAACGTGACGTCGTAGCATTGTTCATGACGTCTTGTCACCATGACTAAGTGATATTTTGCCCTAGAGCACCGTATGAAAATATGAACCCCGATACTTTCGCCCTCGTAAAGGTAGTCTGTGTTGAAAAATCAGAGGTGTATCACGTGATTATATACCTCTGAATGACTTTGATTAACCAATCACAATCCAGTATTTACTGAAGTATTTACTGATGGTAGAATGCATCTTAATGTACAGTACACTCCACCAAACCATTACTCCTGTAGGGATTCTTGAAACTAGTTATTAGTGGTCCTCTGGCATGTGTGACCTCTTCAAGAACTAAGATGATTGACAGATTATTGCTCAAAACCACGAATGTATTCACAGACAGCACATAATTACTGTGCCCGTGTAGATACAAGAAACTGTAACGGTAGAAGTAGGGTTATATGATTTATGCTTCATTTGAGATGGCATAGTTTGGTGAGTGAGTGAATGAGTACTGTTTTAGGGCACATTTAGCAATACTCCAACAGTGTTGGAAATAGGTTTGACACACTGTACCCATGTAGGGAATCGAACCCGGACCTTCAGGTTTTGTTTGATTCAAACGATCAAACACAACAGCCTAGTGTATGTGGAAGACAGACTTTCCATGCAGCTTGTGGCAACGTTTGAATCAAACGTGGTGCTGGTGTGTTTCAGCACCCATGTTTTTCGCTGTTTTTGACAATGATTCATTTCAAACTGAACGTCAACGAATATTGAATCAATTGCTTCACTGCATGCTCCACTTATATGTGTGTTATTGATAACGTGTGATTTGGTTGTTACAGATATAGAAACCACCTGACATATCAGAATGGACCTTTCCTACGTTGCTGTCCTTCAGAAGAACCACACATTTCTGAAGGAGAACCTTCAGGTCGACCCTGTGCTGGATGCCTTGTATGAGAAACTAATCTTCACACAGGCAGACTATGATAGGTGCAGACAAGCTGGAATAGAGAAATGTGAGCTGGTGTTGGAGACGCTTAAAAAGAAGGGAGTAGAAGGTTACAAGACACTCTGTGCTGTCCTCGACACTACACAGCCTTTCATCAAGGAAAGACTTGATAGGACCTCAACTGAACCAGGTAGGCAACTGTCACGCCGCCCGCTTTCTATATAAATACTGGTGAAATCCTACATGCAACAACCTACTTGTGACCTGCGATCCACCAATGATTACTCATTAATTGACATGGCTGACCTGCTTGGACAGTCGCTTCACTCTGCATAACTATAATGCATACCAGCCGCTCCACTTGTCTGCCTGCAAATGTCAAAGAATCGGGACAGTGCATCAACGGTCCTGGAATGGTGGCTGTACCTGGGTATTTTAGCGACGGTTCACTTTATGCGCAAGACGATTACAAATGTCCCAGGTCTTCTCTCAAGACGACAACGGTCCAAGTGCACCCGCCCAACATCCTCAATGGCTGCATCAAGCAGTGTTCTAAAATCGTTGACTGAAGCTTCCAAAAGAGGCGATAATGTCAGCATCATTACTACTCAATGGGATGACGGATTGAAGATGTCTTCTCTCAGACAGAACCAAACACTGTTTCTTAATTTAGGCTGTCTGTTTCACTCGAGCACTTGCTCCTCATTAGCAAGATTCTGTACAGTGTAACTCTCTGAAGTACAGAGTGTCCTGAAATGTTCCAAACATACCCAATACGATTCAGGTCTTGACTTTGTGTTGGCCAGGGTGCAGTTTTGATTGACTCCAGACGTAGGAAATCCATCCCTGCACGACTTCTCTGGGACCAAGTGTTCACATGTAAACTGGCCATGTTAGAACATGATGATTATCAAAATATGACACTACAACCCTCTTCTAGATGTCCGCTAGATATATCTGGCATTCAAGAATGCCTCTCACAGTGACAAATTTAAGTTTCAGTCATAAGATAATCGCACACTGTACAAAATGAAAACTGCTCCAAAATATTTTCTTGTGTGCTTCATATGATAAATCATATGACACCATTTCCTTAAAAAAAATATGTTTTTTCAGGTAGCCCAGATCTCGTCTATGTTAACAAGGGCAAGCTGGAAGCTCAGTACAAAAAGGAACTTGCTAAAAAAGATGGAGAGATAGCTGACTTGAAATCAGTAAGTTGTGATAATATATTGCAATTTTGTATTCTTATAAGGCTTAAATGCTCTTCGTCTTGTGAATAGTTGAAAAGTGATGAGATCGTTACTGCACAAACGTTTAGTGTTGCCCAAATGTTTTGAACCTAAAACATACTCTGTCAGCAACTTTGAAGGTTATATAATTATGACGTGCAATCTGATACAATGTCAGGCGGTTTGTTTACAAGAAGTCGTTATTTATGACGTTTGTTTTCAGGCAATAGAAGGCCTTGAGCAACAAATTGAACAAAACAACATTGATCACGCTGAACTGGAGGAAAGATTGAAGAAAGAAAGTGATGAACACATGACAGAGATAGAAAAGAAGAACGGGGAAATTGAAACTCGTAAGCTGATACTTATAAGTATAACATATACTACCGACAAACAAATGTGAGAACTTAGGATCTGGAATTACAAGTTGTTTACAAGTTGTGCAGTTACCTTATCAAAGTATTGCATCTGAACGTAGCATCAGAAGTGTGTGCAAGCAGAAGCCAAAATGTGTCGCTCCCAAAGAGAAACTCACAGTATTAGACGCAGTTGCCTTAGGCACCTCTGAGACATGACCAGACAAAATCACGAAAGGGGCAGGATGTAGATTGGTGGGGCCAGGCAGCACCAGGAACGAACCGTGCGCGAATGACGTTAAATGTTTACCGACAAAATACGACTTTGCCTGGGTTTTACCGCTGGCAGTAAGACGTTAGCGATGTAGCCACATCAGAAATTCTTGACCATGATCTTTATGGGATCGTGAGAGTAATGGAGTGGGATGATTACCCACATGACAGTCAAACTGACTTGTCTTCTGTGAATAGAAATTATCTGGCCAGGAATATCTGTCGATACGATTATTTCTGTGGATATTGGATACTGATATGCGACTGGCACACCCTCATGATGTCACCTTTACTATGACGTCATCGTTACCATATTTCGTCAATTTAATAATAGTAAATAATTTTTCAGATAATTTTCATTCGGCATTTCGATAATATAGCATATATTTGTCAGCGTCAATGGTGTTACCTGTAGGTTGTAATATTTCAGAAAAGAAAGGAAATTATTTACAATAAAACATGACAATCAATACCTGGAATTTGACAAACTGTTATCTGCTTCACTCCTTGCATTTTTGTCGTTTCAGTGAAGACTGCATTGTCAAAGTCATACGACAACCTGGAGCAGGCTCAAACAAACTCTGAGAAAGTGGAGAAGGTGGGTGGATGTAATTTTATGCGCTGTAAGTCTTAATCTGGAAAATGTCAGAAACAAAATGGAACAGTTACATGTACAACATCATAATAAAACGATTGTTGTACACCTGCCTCTTTGGTCGGAAAAGGCGTAGCTTAGGAATCGTCAGAGGGTTGGGTTTCCGATTATTATTCCACCCAATCGTAGGCATTCGACCGTGTGACGTCACGAATGGCGCGATGCCGTCATGGTCGGTCCATTGTCGCTTCACACTCTGTGCCTCTCATAGCTTCCCTAGTCGTTTGCAAAAATCGATAGTCACGACCCGCGATTGGTTTCCGATCCTAATTTAAACGAAGGAGAACAACAGAACGATTTCTCGTTATAAAACATCATATCGTCCCCACGCTATCATCATTATCTTAAAGTATCGTCAAAGCAATCTTACATCGATCGCACGACTTCAAATATTCAATCTAGGTTTGATGTAAAATACTTTAATTTTATACATACTAGTAAACTTTTCCTAGGAGAAGAAGTAGGCCCTATCCGACCAGCCAGTGAACAACAATAAGACGGTATTTTAAAAAAACGCCTAATACTTTAGCATTTCCCCTTTTTTCAACAGAATTTATCTCGATGTTGTGTAAGTATATTATAACCTTTACGCTCGTAATAAAACGCTCTAATAAAGCACTGCGTCTCGGGTTCATTCAACATCGTAGTTCATGCAGACGTTATTCATTCACAGTGACAACTGTTCGGAACAGAAATGCCGTACAGCTATTTGAAAACCGAGGACTGGGCACATGCTCGCTAGTCGAGGGTTAGGGGAACAATGCTGTCGAGTATCAACGCGTGGGGTAAATATATAGAAAATAAATTGAAAGGTACTCACAGTATGAAGTTTCCACGATTAGCAAATCCGATACAGCGCAATAGTTCATTTGTAAACTCCAAAAGCACTGCAAATACGCTCCAAAGCTTGAGAAAATCTTATTTTCCCCGGTATTCTGTCGATTATTTGAGTCAGGTGAATATCTTATAAAAATGCGGCCGAGATTACGTGTAGTCCGGTCGACGTATTGTATAAGAGAACCCCCTAACAATTTATTTTCTAAAACAAAAAACAATTTAAAACGAAAACATATGGACAAAAAGAGCTAGCATTAACTATGGAGCTGAAATGCAAAACACTAAAGATGGACAATAAATTATCACTGAACCGGATAAAGCGAACGTTTTTAAGATGTACACCAAAAAAGAACATTTTAACTAAGAACAAAACAACAATAACAAAATACTGAACAATAAATGGATAATTTTGGAATTTGAATCCTACCCAAACAATATACCTGTATGAAAATCGAATGATGAAATCAATGTCGGAATGATTAAGGTTGGCCAAATATTTTTTAGATAACTTAAAATTAGAATAATTTATTGGAGGTGTGAGTAAAATAAAATAATATACTTTAAAATCTTCAGTATAATTTGAGATACTATACGGGGTAGGATTCAAATTCCAAAATTTACATCGTGGAGATACGCTCCTCCATTTCCTTTAAAATACCATAGCCCAAGGCTATCAACACTGGTAGATCTTGTTTCATCTGAAAAAAAGAAAAGGAAAAGATAAGGCCAAATACAATTTAGAATTAAAATAAATCTAAGTTGCGTTTGCCGTTCTAGTTTCGCATCTATAAGTATAAATGAAAAGTCACTTTGTCCGGGAATGGACTTTCCCCTCTGATGGGGGTCTCCTTGATCCAGAAGGGCTCCCTACCTGTGTGTCAATCTTTCTGCACTTTCTAAAGTCACAAAACAGATACAAATTCAGGATTATACGTCTTATATGCGCTAATGGATGGTAGGAAATACGCGCGTACCGCTAAATCTGATTTGTACTAAAGCGTATATATTGTGTATTTAATAATCTCTCTCTCTCTCTCTCTCTCTCTCTCTCTCTCTCTCTCTCTCAAATGTGTCATCTGATTTCCAATCATCGGGGAGGTCCATGCTGTTAAATCAAATAAAAACTTTTAACAAAAAGTAGAATTCGCAATCAAAATATTAGTAACGGGTAATAGCGTTTTTGTTTTTGTTTTTTGGGTTGTTTGTTTGTGTTTTTAAAAACAAAAGACAGAAAAAACAATAGCAACCTAACGATATTTCCACGAGAACTAATTCAATAGCAATTAAATTTCCTGGGGGGAATCTGCGATGAGATTGTCACACATCTTGTGTCCGTCGAAGTTCAACCTAAGTGACACTCCAAACGGCGCGCGAGAGAGCAAAATCACGTTTCTCTCTATTGTGCAATACAAAGCCTTTACCGGGTATTAAACCTCATTGGTCAAGCAAGGGCAGATGTGGATGTAAGCCAACGGTTAATAAAGATTTGAAACCTTATTGTATTTAAACTTAAACGGTGAGTGAATCAGTTAAAATTTAAAGTCACACAGACAATATTTCAGCAATATCGTGATTAAGTTGTTAACTTCACCATAAATGCATGTAAATCTTAAAAAGCCTGTCAACGAAGGGCAGCAAAACGAACTAGAAAATTACAGTACAAAGAATGAAAACTAGCATTTAACTCTAAAACTGGATTTCAAATGAAAACAATACAATGTATAAATGGGCTCTCCATCACTAGTAACTGATTGAGAGAGTGAGTTGAAATTTAAAGTCATATAAAGTGCATAATTTTAGCCACATCGTGACTATGAGAGCTGTTTATATGTATAATGAGACAAAATATTTATTTCTGTCGACAAAGAACAGTAGAGTAACTTAACTATTACAGATTACTCCATAAATCTAGCAGTTTCTTATAAGCAATACTTATATACACACAATACAATACAATTAGCCTGCAGCGCACCAGCAACTGAAGTTTTGATCACCTTCAAACTTAAAACAAATGATGGTAAATAACAAATGATCATGACACCAATAGCACAAAAAATTCAGAACGCACCATTCAAGACAAATGTAGCTTGCATCTTCTAATTTCTTTCATTTAAGGGTATAAAAACTTTAAGCAGAATTGATTGTCGCAGACTGTCATCAATTTTCGCAAAGCAAACGTGTTTGGTAGCTCACGCGCATGGAAAGTTCGTTTAAAATTGGAGAGAATGCAACAGGTTGTGTGCAAATCGACCGTACAGTGCTCGGGATACAGCATCTCAAATCAATGCAATGCCGTACAATGCCGCATAGCAAGCAATACCGTATTAAAACATGACTAAGCGCCATCAGTTAGTTTCTCAACAAACACAACAAACACAAATACTATTTCTTCCTTTCACATCGGTCGATTTGAAAAATTCTTTAAAAAAATATATGGCGACTCCAACGCACCAAACTGCGTCGAAATCGGAACCATGCGAACCGAGTTAAGAGTCGTTCAAAAGTCGAGTGAAATCACATGACCACACGTGACGTCATGAGAAACGGGGCTTTTCTCAATTCGACCATTTCTCTTCATCTTTTCTAAAAGTTCTTTTTTTTTAAATCTCATCTACTCGTGAACACCTTTCTTACGGACTCGGTGGCACCGTCGTATGACGTCACGGTGATGTCATCAGAAAAGGGGTCTTTTGCAATTCGACCATTTCTCTTCACCTTTAGGTCCGATTCTAAAAATATCTATTTCTATCGCAGAAGAGACCTCGTCGAGATGAAGAGGATGAAGCGGCTGAACTGGCGGATCTATGCATCGCCGACGATGACTTGAACAATAATGCGACAACTTCTGAGCCATCACAGAAGAGACCTTTTCGAGATGACGAGGAAGAGGCGGCTGAGCTGGCGGCTCTCTGCATTGCCGACGGTGACTGGGACGATAGTGCGACTACGTCTGAGCCATTGCGGAAGAGACCCCTTCGAGACAAAGAGGAAGAAGCAGCTGAGCTGGCGGCTCCCTGCACCGCCGACGGTGACTGTGATGAAAGCCTGCCTTCTACCCTCAAACAACAGGGGGAACCCTCCAACGAATCGAGTCACAAGAAGAGGCAAGGGTCTCCCTTGTAGACACTGTGGTAAGGTTTTCCGAAAAATGTTGAATCTTTGAAGCCATTGGTCTACATGTACACAGTGTCCAGTTTCAGTCATTTTTATTAATCCATCCACTAGTGGTCTAATAACTCTGATGTGTCGAAACGAATGCCTGGAAGAAATGTATACACAACAGTTCCTACCCGTGTACATTCCAAGGACCAACCAAGACTTACCGAGTACATTATTGACAGGATTCGGTGGATCCAATTCCACCAAGCCAATGACTTCTAACCCCAAAAGTCCCAAACAAGCTTCTGTCATCCCCTAAAGTCCTGAGCTCCCCTATTCTAGTCATGAAGCAACAGTGTGACCAAAGCAAGCAGCCTATAGCTTTTCATTTTGGAACAAAAACGCTGCCATCCATCGAGGTCATATGAGGTCAAATTTAATGAAAACTGGAGAGGGCAAAAATTGCAAGCCTTGGAGGATGAACTTCACGGTATGATGGATGATGTGTTACATAGTGCTAGAGGCAATCTGGCTGACAATGATTTGGGTTGTGTTGTCATCTGCCACAAAGGTCTAGCAAATGCTGTCGTTGTACCTCTCTGTAAATTGCAGGATCTTAATGCCAAAGTTGTCATTGATACCATTTCCAAAACATTGGCCAGCAACAACGAATTGAAATTGGACTCTTCTTTCGAAGTAGATGTGAGTATGATCGATATGCTGAAAGGGGCGGGAAGTCATCATGAAGTTTCCAACGTAAAGAACAGCATCAAATTAAAGAAATCCATCGTCAAAATACAGAACCAGGACCAACTCTGTGTGGTTCGAGCCATCTTCATTTCGTTATCCACAGCCTACAGAGTCATACGGAAAGGATTGAAAGATTTGGTCAATGTACACCCTGGTCAAGATGAATTTGATCTCATTATGACTCACAAGAGTGACTACTGCCTAGCACTCTACAGCAAAAGACATGAACATTCCTGTTAAAAACACTGTATCATTTGCAAACACCGTTGCTGCGAAGTTTCCAAACAACTGTAAAGATTGCAAAATGACCTGTAAGTCCAAGGACTTTTTCATATGTCATAAGGCACAACCAATTTCAAAAAAAGAAGAAGAGTAACAGACTTTCTGAATGCGAGCAATGGAAGAGGTGTCAGCATTGTTTGAAAGTACTAAACGTGAATAATCGCACTTTGGATCAGCACATTTGCGGGGAGTATAAATGCAAAGGGTGTAAACAATATGTCCCTAATGATCACAAGTGTTCTCATCACCCCACCTCCAACGAAAACAGAAGCGTCTCCAAATTCTACTTTTTTTATTTGGAATGTATGCAAGATAATGTCTACACTTGTGAAGATGGATACGTTCCTTATTTTTGTCAACTTGGCAGCCATGACTCCTGTACCCATCACCGACTGTGCGCCAACTGTAAAAGATCATCTTGCAGAGAAATAGAGCAGAGAGCCAATTGCATTATAGCCCAAACAGTTTGCGACACGTGTAAGGAAGAGGACTCATTGGACAAACCTTGCCCTTCTTGCGGGACGCGTTGTAACAGTTGCGGAAAACCTAACAAAAAACATCAGTACATCACTCCTCATTGCTAGGACAAGTGTGGACTCAAAGAAGTTCAATTCCGTGGTAAAGATACGGTCTCAGACTTTTGGTCCTGGTTGTTTTCCAATCAACACAAACAGTTCACTATCTTCGCTCATAACTTTAAAGGATACGATGGTTACTTCATTCTGTCATATCTCATCCAAAACTCAATGCTCCCTCACAAAGTCATATATAATGGAAGCAAGGTAATGTACCTTTACAGTGAAAGAGGTTTAGACATCCGTCTTCTGGACAGCCTGTCCTTCAATACCCGTCTTGGTAACTTGCCCAAAATGTTCCACTTGACCGAACTTAAAAAGGGTATTTCACTCACTTCTTCAACACCTCAGATCATAAAACTACGTAGCACCATTTCCAAACTGTTCTTACTATGGCATTGATTTTATGGATACCGAGGACGGAGTTGCTGGAATGGCATGCCGTTTGGTGATGGTTTTTCGAGAACTTATGATCAGGATCACCAGGGAGACGAGGATGTAAAAATCCAAAAACGGGACTCAACGAGGAACGAATCATCAGATCCGGTGTGAATCCAATGCAAAGCATTAATATTGCCAGTGTCTACATGAACGTGTTAAAGAAAAGTTTTTGCGACCCTATCGTCACATCAAACTGGAATGTGATAATGACAACTGGCTCCAACTGAGGGAAGATGATGAAGGTTATACGAGAAAGGATCAATACAGTCGAATGTATATACAATGGCTGGAATGGATGGCTCATTCCAAAGGTATTTACATCCAACATGCGTTGAAAGAAGGTGAATTTCACATCCCAGGTCACAAATACTCAGCGGATGGGTATGTTAGGGAGACCAACACTAGCTATCAGTTCAGTGGTTGCATGTTTCACGGATGTCCTACGTGTTACCCTCACAACTGCGACACCATGGTTCTGCCCAGAACTCAAGGGTATAACCTGGTCACGTTATTGGAGCAAAGTTGGATCTGCAGGAGCGTTTGGAAGTTAGAGACAGTTTTTTCAGAGGTCGTTCCAATGCCATCAAACTCTACTACGAAGCCAGCGAGGATGAAGAAATTTTACCTCTTTGTACTCCAGTGTCAACAAGTATGGACGATACCCAGTTGGGCACCCGAACATCATCACACGGAACTTGAAGTCAGTGGACCAATACTTTGGCATAGCTTAAGTGAAAATCCATCCTCCCAGAGGGCTTTATCATCCCGTCTTGCGCTATCGTTCAAATGGGAAACTCAAGTTACCACTCAGTCGTACTTGTGCTGATACGGAAAATGAAAAACCGTGTCAACGTACAGAAGAGGAAAGATGTTTCATCGGGACTTTCTGCACTCCGGAACTGCTCAAAACCACTGAGAAAGGCTACCAAATTGTAAAGATGTACAAAGTGTACCATTGGCCCGAAACCACTCAGTACAATCCAAGCTCCAGAACAGGCGGTCTGTTCGCGGATTATATCAACACCTTTCTGAAGATCAAACAAGAATCATCTGGATGGCCCGTCTGGTGTATCACGGAAGATGACAAGCAAAAGTACCTCGCTGACTATCTTCAAAATGAAGGAATTCAGTTAGATTATGCTGAAATTGAAAAGAATCCCGGGCTCAGAGCCCTGTCCAAACTGGTCTTAAATAGCTTCTGTGGCAAGTTTGCGCAGCGTTCCAACATGACGCAGTCCAGATTCATTAATCATAATGACCTGAAGACGTTTTAAGTTTTTCCAACGGATCCATCAAAATCCATTCAGGGTTTCCACATACTTACCAAAAGAGTTCTACAGCTGCAATGGTCCCACGCGAATGAGTTATTTGTACCAGACAGCGAGTCTACAACATATTCACAGCTTCCTTCACTACATGCTATGCCCGTCTGACTGTACGAACTCCTGGACACACTGCAAGAGCGTGCACAAGAAAAAAATGGTGATTTCCAAAAATTTCCAATTTGGAAATATCATATTTCCCAAAAGTTCCAAAATTGGAAACATGATATTTCTAAGGCTTGGAAATTTTTGGAAATTTAGGAAGGATTTTACCACTACTTCTTTCAGTGTCTCCTTTTCCCAAGGATCCCCGTGAGTGTATAGACTGTGTATTCCTCCTAGGAGTGTATTCATCCTGCTATGCGATCAACTAGGAACCAATTCTATATATTAGTAAATTGGGATGTAGGCGAATAGAGAACAACCCGTTTGGGTTTGTGGTCAGAGACGATGTTATGCAGTTGTATTCACTAAATATCATGAACTTGATAATAGATAGTTGGTTATGTTGTCCATACACGGGCGGACTTAGGCAAAAAAAAAAAAATGAATTCCTTCTTAAAAACTTCATAGTGTAACTAATTAATTTGGTCTTATACAATAAAAGGTGACTAAATGTTTAATTTTAGATAACGTTAAATAATTTCTAGAGAAATCACTACACAAGTTCATATCACATGATTCCAGAGACAAATAGTTTATGAGATTCTAGTTTATGAAAAGCATTAAATTCCAAACAAGCCAATCTGTTCTCTAATGCTCAGGAATTATTACCTCTAATACCAATGATGGGTTATATGTTAGACGCCATTTAGAAGCGTATGAAGGGACAATATCCAGTGATACCTGCAGGCCATTAGGGGGATGTGCTTATGAGTGTAGTATCGTCAGCAAGCAAGACAGCTGCAACGTCCATACCAAAGACACGGATACCACAGCCGCTTCTCTTAAAGATGTAAATTAGGTCATTAATAGAAATGAGAAAAAACAAGAGGATATATTCCTCCCTTGTCCAACACCTTGGTTTGACCAAGTACATATCTGACCTCTCGCCGTGGTATTCAACAAATGATTGGCTATTGGTGTAACAGTGATGTAACAGTTTCCATGTATTACCTCTAATACCAAGTTCATGAAGCTTATAGAATAAACCATCATGCCAAATTCTGTCGAATGTTGTTGCGTTGTCGAGAAAGGCTGTAAAGATAGGGGAATCTCTATGGTTATAGTATTGTATACTCTCCATGAGAGTAAACACAGACATTATGGCTCCATGCTCTTTTCGAAATCCAAATTGTAACTTGTGTCAGGAAAGTCCGGATTTGATTTAAGCAATTTATTTTCAATTCGTTTGAGCAAGAGCTTTTCAAATAATTTACCAAGGCAAGATGTTAGTGTGTGGATACCTCTGCAGTCTTTGAGGGTCAGTTTTATCATTTTACCTTTGTATATTGATATTACCATTCCAATCCTATATTCACATGGGACATATTGAGATTCAATCATATGATTGAATAGTTTACATACATAATTAATGAATCCATCACCTGCATATATGATATGCTCGTTTGTAATTTTGTCGAGGACCTGGGATTTGTTTTTGCTAAGAGACTTAACAGCATCCTTTACCTCATCAAATAGAAAGTCTCTTTCTAGTTCCTCATCATAATCCTCAGTGCTGCTACTGTCAATCTTCTTAACCAATTGAGATATGTAATTTTTGAAATCATCATCAAATGTTTCTGACTCATGTGGTTGAGCTTAGGTCGGTATAGTATTTGCCCCATATTTTACATACTTCAGAGGGCGTTGAGTTGCTCTCGCCTCCGTAATCAAGTGTAGATACATTTTGTAACCTACTGACCGTTGCTTTGGACAGTTTTGTAGAAAGTGTTTACGCATTAGAAATATTAGAAATAAAACAGACTAAAGTCTGCAACAATGTCAGGTTATTACCTTGTTCGAGGAATTTATCCATAAATATCCACATAGGTTTAGTCCCAATTTTGACAGCCTCAAATTTGACAGTGAAATTTCTCACTTCTGTAACTGATCTAGCCAGTTATCCCAATTTTGACAATGAACTTTGGTAGACTTGTCAGCTCTTCTCGTGCCCGGTTTTTTTCATTACTGGTAAGGATATAGGAACCAATAGAGCTTTGGTCTGCATGTATGCTGCTTCTGTCCCTCTTCTGACTACAGTTCCATCTGCTGTTGTAGTGACTGAGGCTGTTTTCAGGCACTAACATCTCCATATAATGGTACCATTCCTGTTGGCAGTTCGTCGCAGATACCTATATCCACCCAGCAACAATTCTCCACCTGGCCTCCCTACCATCTAACTTTGTACCTTTCTCAGCCATGATGAAATACGATAAGAAAATGTGATGTATATGTGGGCATATATAATTTTGTAAGTAATTGGTAAAGCTACTTCTCCCATCCTGCTCATGGCATAACCTTTTATTAAATATTTGCATTCATACATCTCAACGGATAATGCTGCTTCTCGCATCCTTTTCTCTCAGTTGATTGTGGCATTGAGTGTTCAAGAATGTTACTTGTTCTGTACTTCTTTCAGGTGATTGCATTTTACGTAACTACCCTTAATTGGTGCAGCTAGTTATCCCAGATTTGAGTGCGAAACTTCGCGAATCAGTGACCAAGACGCTGTCAAAAATGGGACACTACCTCCACATAAAGGAACAATATGCCATTGATCTGCAGCTGACAAAGAATCCTGTTCCTGTGTCTTTTAACAGTCTTATATGCGAAAAAGGGATACATCGATTCAGTTTTTTCACATTGGTGTATAATCTCATTGGTCATCCAAGATCGCACACATGGCAATCTACTTGCATGATGCCCGCCAATTCTTTAAAAGGTAACTTAATTAGCCAATAATGAGCAATCAATCCACTTGTGTTTTTTCTTGGCAGTCATGTCCTCCCCATCCCTCCCCGCCCACCCGTACCACATTGTCTTGCTAATGAACATGGTCTGGTGATCCTCTTACACCTTAAATAAAACAAATTGCCCGACTGGCAAAGAGGAACACCCCATCCAACTTTACTGGCGGTTAATACATTTGAAGGAAGATGTTGTTTTTACACAGGTACTTTACGACAGGGTGTAATCAGTATAGATTAGTAAATCTACATACATAAACACTACCTTTTGACAAATCCGCTGTGCAAGATAAAAGTAATTAATCAACCAGCGTATTATCGGTTAATCCTTTGATCAATGTTTGTTTTGTATCTCAGCTGATAATTCGTCTTGCTGCACTTCCATGAGCATATTACATAACATGTAATACATTTGTCACATCAGACCTTAATTCATAATGCTGAGTATTTACTCCAGACACAACAAATGCGAAATGGGAACCTTTGTCGGGTAATCTGAGTGGTATTACCATCAGTGGTATTGTTATAATTCATTAATTGACCATCAAGTGAATGATGACAAATAACATGTGTAGGTTTATACCACGCAAACACTGGTTACAGCAAAGGGGGTAGTAATCGCTGAATTGCATGCCTGAAAAAACTTATGGGCCGACACTGTTTGGAGGATACGAACGGAACTTCATTGTTGCATAAGAAATACATATAAGCATTTGATGTGTACTGAAGTTAAAATTGAATATACCTAAGTAAATTTTCATTGTCATAAATATAATATGTAATAGACATCATATGTTTACATGGCATGATTATCGAGGTAAAAGAAACACAGA